AGATGGTGCCATGTCTTGTAATGTCGAGTTTATAGTTGGAGTTGTTGTACTTGAATCTTCAACGAGTTAGAAAACTCACTTGAGGGAGTTTGTAACAGGAGCGTGGCTTCTAATAGGCTCTGATACCATGTTGGGCTCATAAAAGCCTTAGGATTTTTTTAGAATGCTAAGTCCTTGTAACAGAGTGTTTGATAGCACAGCGGAAGTATTGAGTTGAACCCTTGTACTGGTATATGAGGACAAGTGATTGATTATAGCAAAGGGATACAAAGTTTATATAATAACACAAGAGAATATGAAGAGTCTAACTGTTTTGCACTTCGAGGGGTACATTCCCTTTTACGACTCGATAAAGGCGACTCCGGTAACCACCCGTACTGTAATATCGGGACGGTTATTTGTCCTTACTGTCGCGCTGACTCTTGACTTTTGCGTTTCTGGCTGTTGGGTTTCACGGTCAACGGTCTGCGACTGTTGCCCTTTCATAACCTCTGTGAGGTGCCGTCAACCCGTGTGAATCGTCAGGGTTACTGTAACGGTGTTGACTCGGTAATCCTCGCTGTTGTAGTCTTCGCGTATTTCGTATACTCACGCGAGACTACGGAAATTCCAATACAAAAGTCCTTTTATCATTTCCAATCTCGTTTGAAGCTCAACAATTAGATAGCTTATTAAAATACCATAATATATATGTGTTATTACGTAAAAGACTAGTCATGGTATATACTGTATATAGAACCCACTTGTAAACACACTTTGCAACCATGACTAGTCAAAGTGTGTTTACAACCCACCACATGTGTTATGATAAGGAAATTGTTACATTCCTGAAAGTGACATTCGAGTCGTAACCAATGTTCTATTTATCATACTTTTTTTGTCTGATTGTCTGAATCTAGAAACTGTAACTGGTATTATGAAGACACGTTATATATAAAGTTTTGCATAACCGTTTAGTTTGTGCAAGAAGTGCATGGTTAAGTGTTCCGATTTCTTGTAAATCAGCCTGAAGCCACAATTTTGGGTTTGCAAATCAGACAAAAAAAAACTAATAAAGAGAACCCTGGTCATAACCCTTGTCGAGTCCAAGACTATAACGCGATGTACGAAGTGCAACGGTCGTTGACCGTTGACCGACAGTCGAACCGACAGAAGTCCAATGGTTCGTTACGACAGCAATGACACATAACTGACCTTGCAATACAGCGCAGGCAGTTATCCGACTCGCGTACGATTACCCGAGTCGAATTTGGAACCTCCAAGGGAATGCACCCCTATCTTAATTAGACCCTTCGCATTCTCTTGTATCATTATATGAAGCATGTATCTCTTTGCTATAATCATCACTGTTACATTACATTCACGCCCAAGTCAAGGAGACTTCGAACCGGCTATATCAGCCCAAAACTACATCAACCCCTACAACTAACACGGCAGCTACGAGATCGATGAAGAAGAGCTGGAGTGGAACCGTTGGTTGGTTGCGTGCGCACTCAGTGCTTGCATGCTGTCGGCTTGCGCGCTAGCGCCGTGCACGTTGGTTGCCTGCGCACTAGTTGCCCTGTCCACTGGCTTCTTGCGCACTAGCGCCGTGCTTGTCGTAGTGCAGGTAGTCTACATATTGCTAGTACCTTCATATCGTCCTTACCGTTGTGCCCTACCCCTCCCACACTTTCTCTTTCTGCCATTTCTGTATTTTTGTGAGTCTTTTAACAACATCCCTTCTATGTTGACTTAGTAGGCGAAACTAGTTGACACTCCTGTTCCAAGCCAGAGATTTTTGGCAGAGTTAATTGTAAGTGCTTTATTGCTATTGTTTCCGTCCCTGGTCTTCCCTATTCAGCAGATATTACACTGTTTCCTCATTTTGCACTATGCTTATTTGAATTTTGGCCATATAACCACCCTTGTTCTCACTCATCAAACGTTCTTTGATTGTGTTATAAACCCTCAAATTCCTTCATTTCACTCGTGATTGCAGTCATGAACGCACATGTTAATTGAATTCGTAAGTTCACAACTCTCATGCTTATATACAGATCATGTTAGCGTGACTTTCATAATTCTTTGTTCTCCCACTTTTTCCTGCAGGCCATCTCTGCACATCTTTATGTGTGCTCTGTAATTATCGACTTTGATAGATTTTGGATCTCAAGGGTCAATGGAGGAGCTGGAAAGCAAAAGAGGAGGGGGGGAGGGATGGGAAAGATGGAGTGGGGGAGCGAGGGAGGGAGGGAGGGGGGGAGAGGGAGGGATAGAGAGGGAGGGTAGAATGGAGGGACAGAAGGCAAGACGAGGGAGGGAGGGAGGGTGGAGTGGAGTGTTCTGGAGTGGTATCCAGTAGTCATAACTGTTTCCCACAGGATTAGCTTCTAGTTTTGCCAATGCTCAATTCCTCTGCTTGTGTTTGTATCCATCGCATGCATGTATGTGCTCTCAAAGAAGCTTAGGATAGGAACTACACTTAGGAACCTAGCATAGCTAGGAAGGAAGGAAGGACGCCATGGAATGGCGTGAGGCAAGTAGATCTAGGAGTAGGCAAAAGTGACGAGAAAGAAGAGAGTTGGACTAGGAAGAGAGAGAGGTACAAGGAGGGGATTGTACCCTCTACAGAAAGGTTCAGTAACACTACCAAGCCTATCAATTATATAAGTTAATATAATTTTAACACACCCCTTAGGCTTGGTAGTCACAAGCCCACACACACCCCCACACCCCCTAACCTAGCACCCCCAGTCCCATCAGCCACAATGCTCCCAGCAGGGCCCAAAAGGCCGTGGAGATGGCGACGGCGGCAGTCCCGACCGCGGCGACAGCGACGGCGACGACGGGCGTGCGGCGGCAAACGGCCTGCGGCGACGGCAGCGGCGACGGCGACGGCTTCGGCTTACGGCGGCGGTAAGTGCAGCGGCCCCCGCCCTTCCGGCGGCGTGTCCAACCTCCGCGACAGGGGGACGACTGCCGAGAGTCTGCGGCGACTGTGGATAAGAGGAGGCGACAGGGGAAAGGGGGGACAGTTGGCGTGCGGGCGGTGGCGGCGTCACAGGCGTCACGCAGCCGGCTGCGGCCCGACGGCGCCGTCACAGAGCGACGTCGACGCTGCAGCAGGACGTCGACGTCACGACGGCAGAGGCAGCGTCGATGCCGCAGCGGGACGTCGACGCTGCGATTGCAGAACGACGGCCCGACTCCACGGCAGCGCGTCGAGCCGGTCGCGGCACGACGCGGCCAGTGGCAGCGCGACGTCGCCACTGCAGCAAAACGCGGCCGCCATGGCCGCTCGAGCGAATGAGGGTGAGGAGTAAATGGCGGAAGCGTGAGGAGGCGGTCCAGCAGGGAGGATCTCCTGCTCTGATACCATCTCAAAGAAGCTTAGGATAGGAACTACACTTAGGAACCTAGCATAGCTAGGAAGGAAGGAAGGATGCCATGGAATGGCGTGAGGCAAGTAGATCTAGGAGTAGGCAAAAGTGACGAGAAAGAAGAGAGTTGGACTAGGAAGAGAGAGAGGTACAAGGAGGGGATTGTACCCTCTACAGAAAGGTTCAGTAACACTACCAAGCCTATCAATTATATAACTCAATATAATTTTAACATGTGCGTCCCAAGTCCGTTGGCATGCTGGAATGACATTCTTGTTTTGCGTTGTATGAATGTGAAATTGTGGCATTTGTGTGTTGTGTCGGGATGCGTATATGTATATGCCGCGTGTTTTTGTAGCTTGAGGTTGTGATCATCACTGGGCAACGTCGCTGTCAGAGTGGCCGGATCAATCTCTGCTCTAACACTGAAGCAATCAAGCACTCATTTCGAGGCATTCATGTTGTTTCACGCTGTGTACTCATTCGTTTTTGTTGATGCAAATTGTGTTTTCTGGTCGTTCCATCCGCCGTATTAATCACCGAGGTGGATGACAGAAAACATGTTTACTTCTTGTTGTAGTGGTGTTCATGTTTGGGTTTGTTTCAAGATATGTACACTACCTGCTACGTGATTTTACAGTTCGAGGTTGTGATCGTCACTGGGCAGCGTTGCTGTCAGAGTGGCCGGATCAATCTCTGCTCGAACACTGAAGCTAGTTGTGCATACACTTTGAGGCATCCGTGTGATTTCATGATGTGTATTGATGAAATTGCTTTCTTTTTTATTTTGGGGTAAAAGTGTTTATTGTCGTTCCATCTGCCTTTGAGGTGGGATAACAAAAAACATATTTTCTGCCTAAAAAATATTTTTAGGTGGCAGCCCTAAAAAATGCCCCTAAAAATTAAATGTAAAACCAAATGTATGGGGTTGCTATGCAACCCAAAAATTATTAGGTCTAAACAGGAGACTTCGTGTAGTCGTTGATCTTCAGCCCTCCCAGCTTCATTGTCTGTCAAGCCTGGGTCTCCCGCTAGGGGCTCTGGGGTCAACAAAATCCTTCAGTCCATCCTGATAGGGCTTGGTTGGTGCGGGTGCTGGACTGGGTGGCCCTCACTTCACAGTACAGTACCCAGTTTTGAAAACAAAAGATGCATTCTCTACTGAAAATTTACACGGTTTAGTACGTTACAGTAAGTTCTGGTGTGGTTTAGAGTGGTGCCTTCAGGTAGCTCATCAAGGTCGGGCCTTGTCGCGCTCGCTTCAAATTTATTTGTACTCCTGAGAGTTCAGATACCTGGTTCCTCGGAATGACGAGGTTGTACAAAGGAGCTACCCAAACTATAGGAACCAAGAGAAGATCCGCTGGTCACAAACCATAGAGAAGTACAGTAGTCGAGTTGCATATCCAAGATCAACCTCCACACACCAGGAAACATTCGGGGGTAAACCCGGAATCAGGCCGAGCAAACATAATACTGTACTCCTACCGCTTGAGGGTGAAACGCATTCGGACCCACCCGTCTCCCACCCTCCCACTGCCCCTTCTTGTTCCCCCCTACGCATTTCCAACCGTAACCTGATGCCCCTCGCCTATTCCACCCACGCGCACATCTCCACAACCACACACTCCCCCTGCCCTTCGCCCTCTCCCCCTCCCTCCACCACACCCTCAGAGCCCTCACTTAGAATGCAACCCCATCCACATCTTCCACACCATGTTCCCTAGATTTGCACGTGGAGCCGCCATAAATTTATGGATGGGCCGTTGCACGTCTTCATTATTTGCCGGTTGTCAGTTACGTGGAATAGTGTTGTTGAGGTGTTACAGTATCGACTTGTCTCTTTTAGCCTGACGTAGATTATCGCTAGGCTGTCGTCTGAAACCCTTCTTATGACTTTAATTTACCGTACGACCTAATTTATTGGTTAAGTCGTCGCTGTGCGAAGATACTTAGGATGTAGAGGCTGGAACAGTAACAGCCTAAATAAACTCATTATCGAGCCACGTATCCACGATGTCTCGAGTCGTAACGGACGGAGACCTCAGTCCTCAGCGTCACTTTCCGCGAAACCGCGGTCCTGCTTACGTGGCTGCTCCGCGCGGGGTCCAATACCCCGAGGACTTAATCTCCCCGACCAATCCGGGAATCGCACCTGGCAGGCCGGGCGACCATGTGCGACGGCCAGCCGGTCGCACGGCGATTCGCACGGTGCAGGAGGGCCACCAGCTCACGGAAGGCGACGACTTCGCAGACAACCGAGGCGGCAGCCAGAGGCGAATAACGATCCCCTCCGGGGGAGGCGGCGGGGGAGGCGGCGGGTATCACGGGAACACGTCGCCGCTGCGCAATGCCATCCACGGGCGGTCGGAGAGTCACTCGGGGGAGTCGGCGGAGCGGGGGGGGCGCGCGGAGCACGCGGCGGACCTCCAGCCGCGGCGCGCGGCGAGCTCCAACGAGGCGGGGTACGGCCGGCCGGCCGCGCTGCGCCTCGACGCCGACATGATTAAGGCCGGCAGGAAGGTCAGTCGGTGGCGCGGGTGGAAAGGTCGTTCCTTAGACGCCTTAAAGGAGACTCTAATGTAATCAGGTCCGGCAGGAACGCACGTCGGTTGCTGTGCAGCCGGTATTTGCGGCTTCTTCCGTGTTTCTGCTTCGGCGATTCTTTCCGTGGCCGTGGAGCTGGGTCGCCGACGGTTTCTAGGGTCGGCTCAAGATCAATTTACGGAATGAGGTCGCCGGTATCGGGTGACCTTATGAATCTGCTTAAAGGTCGGAATTGGCTGTCGGTATCGGACGCTCTTTTTTAGCTTTCGGTCTCCTTGCCTAAAGCGAGTAGCGTTCGCGGCTTCGTGGCTTCGTTAATGCCTTCCATTTCCCCTTCATATCCCGTGATCTCTTTCGCAATGGCTGTGCGTTTCGCCATTGTAGCCGCCACAGCGTTTGATCCCGTTCGTTAACCCTCGGGGAACCATTAGGGTTTCGTGTTAGTCCCGCTGTCTTGGCCATTCAGTCGCAAACACCTGATTCTTCCGCGCCGCTTTTCTCGGCGGGCGCTTTTATCCGTGAACTGTTGGTCCCCTGCGTATCAAAACTCTTGTTTATGTTCCAAACTTCCAGCGTGCGTTATTCTGCTCCCGCTCTCACTCTTTCTCCTTCCCCCCTTCCCTTCTCCCGTCCCCCTCTTCCCCCCCCCCCCCTCCCCCCCGCCCCCCCTCTTCCTCTCTCGTTTTCCCCTTGACATGCTTCCCCTCCCGCCTTTTTCATTTCCCACCCACCCCGCCGTCCCCCTCCCAACCCCCTTCTTCCCCCCCGCCCTCCCTCTCCCCGCTTGTCTGGCCTCTCCCCCCTCCGCCCTGCGCCTATTCCCGCCGCCCTGCGCTACTTCTCTCCGCCTTGCGTCTCTCCGGTCATCCCTGCGCCTGTCCCCTCCCGCGCGTCAGGACGCGCTGAGTCCCCGCCGCATGGTGAAGGTCGCCACGCCCTCGTCCCAGTCCAGCAGCGCCATGGCCCGCCCAGGGGGGCCGGGCGGGGCGGGCGGGGGCGGAAGCATGGTGGGGAGTTTCCAGGCGTCACGGGGGGAGGCGGAGCACATGCGGCGCGTGGCGGAGCTGGTGGAGGCGGTGCGCGCCAACGACGTTGACCTGGTCAACGTGGTCCTGCAGGAGGCGCCCTCGCGCACGGCGCTGCTCAACACCGTGCACCCAGGTAGACTAGGGGCGCGGGTCAACACCGTGCACCCAGGTAGGGGCTTGTGCTTCACCCGGGTAGAGTCTCGCGCCAAACTCCCGTTTCCCCTCCTCCTCCCCCACCCCCCACCCCCCTCTCTCTCCCCCCCTCCCTCCCCCCCCCGCCCCTGCCCCGCATCTCCTCCTCTCAGCTTGTCAGCGCGCGGCTGTGCTCGAGGCCGTGATAGCGTCCGGCGCGGAGGCGCCGCTGCCAACTTACTCCCCTCTCACTCCTCCCCTCTGCTCCCTGCCCCCCATGTACTTCCTCGCAGCCTCTCCACTTACGGCTCTGCACGAGGCCTTCACTTCACCCACACCCCCTCTCTCCCCCCCCTCCCCCGCTTCTTCTCCCTTGCGCTCACCTCACTTCCCCCCGCAGCCTCTCAGCGCACGGCGCTGCACGAGGCGGTGATTGCGTCCAGCACGGAGGCTGCAGGCGCGCTGCTCGAGTGGGGCGCGGACCCTGATGGCGGGCAGTCGTCGCAGGTGAGCGCGAGCGCATGTCTGGGCTACCTGAACCGTCATGCCTGGCCTTGTTCAATTGAAACTGCTCTTTTTCTGCAAGACGTTGATCCCCTTGTCTTTCCCCCTGCAACCCCTCCACCCACCCCCCACCCCCTCCTCCCCGCTCTCCACCCGCATTTCCGTCTACTTGCTCTTGGTCGTGCTGCTACGCCTGTGCCGCACGACTCTTCTCAGTCCGTCTCCCCCTTTTTTTTCCATCACCTATCCCCTTCCACCACCTGCCCGTGTGGCCTTTCCATTCACACCTTCCCGTCCCTCTCGCGATAGTCTCTTACCCACATGCTGCTTATCATATTTGCCGTGCAAACTTTCATTGCTGGCGCACACCGTCCCCTCTCCTCCCACCCCCTCCCTTCTTGCATCCCCTCCCCTCTCCTTCCCCTCCCCTCCCCTCTCCTTCCACCCCCTCCGTGCTCTCCCGATCTTGTTGATTTCCCTGTCATTTCCAACCCTCCCCTCCCCAACCCCCGTCCCCACTCGCAGATGCCGCTCATCATGTTTGCGGGGCAAACAGGCAACGAGTCAACGACAAGATGTTGACACTGCTGCTGTGGCGCGATTGCTGTTCACGGATCCTGCCCCCGCTGCTCTCCTTCGCACTCCCTCCCTCCCTCCCATTCTCTCCCTCCCATCCTGCCGCGTTTGGCCGTCGCAGATGCCGCCCATCATGCACGCGGTGGAGAAGGGCAACGACAAGATGGTCACGCTGCTGCTCTCGCATGGGGCGGACATCAACGCGCAGGACGCCAAGCAGTGCACCGCGCTGCACTACGCATGCGCTGCAGGGCACAGGTATGGCACACATTGCGGGGCACAGGTATGGCACACAGTGGTGGGCACAGGTATGGCACACAGTGCTGGGCACAGGTTTGGTGGTATGAAGCCAAGCAGTCAACTTGGTAGCCAGAGGTACGGCCTACAATGTCATCAGGCACAGGGCGCCACGCACACAGCACAGGGCACTCCACTACGCATGCGCTGCAGGGCGCGGGTATGGCACACCTGAATCAGTGTGTTCAGCCTCATGGAGCTGTTGCTAATAGCTGGCGCCAACATGTATGGCTCAACCGCGATGGCCTCTACCCCCAGCAGCTCGCCTCCACAGTCGCATCCACACGCTCTTCCACAAGCTGTTTTAGGCTCATAGCCTTCCCTCCCCGCAACACATTCCTGCTACACTCCCCCCCCCCCCCCCCTCCCCCCCCCCTCCTTCCCCCCTTCCCCACCCCCCCGTCTCCCTCCCCCGCTCCACCACGCCCTCCCGACCCGTCCCTCAGGGGCATTATCAAGCTGCTGCTGGTGGCGGGGGCCAACATGTATGCGCGCAACCGCGACAACCTGTACCCGCAGCAGCTGGCGTCCACGGACCGCATCCGCACGCTCTTCCGCAAGCTGCACGAGTACCACCAGCGCCACGGGCTCGTGGGGGAGGGGGAAGGGGGAGGGGGAGGCGCGGGGGGAGGCGCAGGCGGAGGGGGCAGGGGGGGGATGCGGGGGTCGCCCCCGATTTCGCCTGGGACGTCTGGGCGGATGAGCCCGAGGGACGTGGGGGGGATGGTGGACGACGGGTGGGACGACGAAGGTAGGCGTTTGTGGGGCGGGATGATGCAGGGGTGTGTGTGGGGTGCGGATGCAGGGCGTGGGGTTTAGAGTGGGGGGGAGCACAGGTTTGTGGTGGCGTGGCGTGGGTGGCATGAGATTGCTGGGCGGTTGAGCCTCGGGGACATGGGATGGGAGGGATGGCGGACGACGGTTGGGTGGGATGATGAGGGGATGAGTGCGCGGGGGGGTGACGGTTGTATGTGCTGCAATGTTGAATGTGTGGTGGGATGCTGAAGGCGTCAGTGGGATGGTTAAGTGTGGTGGGATGGTGGGGGTGCATGACACGGGGGTAGGGCATGCGCGAACGGACTGGACCTTGCTTAAACCCAAAGCCTTGGACTTCGTTCACCCCCTTTCCCCTCTCCCGCCCGCCCCCCCACTACCCTCCTCCCTTCCTTCCGCCTCCTTTTTTCTTCCTGACCGCACCCTGCTCTCCCCTGTTGGACACAGCATCCGTTTATCCACTCATCTCAACTCACTCACCCAATCGTACCCCTTCCTTTCCCCCCCTCCTCTCCCCTTCCTCTCTCCTTCCTCTTTCCCCCCTCTCCCCCTCCTCTCCCCCTCCTCCCCCCCTCCTCTCCTCTCCTTCCCCCCTCCCGCCCCCCCGTCCATCCCCCCCCCCAGTGCCCAACGGCTCATCGGTGCAGCAGCTCATCTCGCCGCGCTCGCTTGCAGCCCGCACTCGCCTGGGCGCTGGAGGCGCAGGGGCCGGCGCAGTGCAGCCCGGCCGCCAGGGGCCTGCAGGGGGGCGGGGGGCTGTGGGCAGCCGGTCTGCTGTGGAGCGCGGGAGCACCCGCGAGGACGACTGGCTGGCCCTGCCGCACGCACGGGGAGGGGGAGGAGGTGGAGGGGGAGGGGGGGATGGAGGGGAGCAGGGGGAAGTGGAGAGTCCGCGCGACCTGCTGGACAGCAACGAGCAGATCTTCCTGCAGGCGTGGGAGAACGACCGCGATGACGACTCGCCCGCCTTCGCCTGGCCGGGGGGGGCTGGGTCGGGCGGAGGGGGGGGCGGAGGGGGGGGGGTGGTGGTGGACCTAAGGACGAGCATGTGGCAGGGGGAGGAACAGCAGGCGCGGTGGCGGCAGCGGGGCCGGCGGCGTCGCTGGCGCGGCGGCACATAAGGGACTCGCGAACGCTGTCGGTGGAGTCGGGCGGGCAGCAGTACGCGCGGCGCATCGTGCAGGCCAACGACAGCACCATGTCCGACGCTGAGGCGGGCAGCTTTGGCACCCGCAGGCACACCGCAGGTGGGTTGGGTTGCTCCTCTGTTCCTGCTTCTGTGTTGTGGTGTTTGAGTGGGTCGACCCTTTCTTTCTGTGTCTGGGGTGCGCAGGCACACCGCAGGTGCGCGCTCTCTGCTCTCTCTCTCTCTCTGCTCTCTTTCTCTCTCTGCTCTCTCTCTCTCTCTCTCTCTGCTCTCTCTCTCTCTCTCTGCTCTCTCTCTCTCTCTCTGCTCTCTCTCTCTCTCTCTGCTTCCGCCTCCTTCGTCTGCACTTCCCAACTTTGCCGACTGCCCTTTGTGTTTCCCCCTGCTCTACACATACCCGTGAGGCCCCCCTGCTCTTCACATACCCGTGTGGCCCCCCTGCTCTTCACATACCCGTGTGGCCCCCCTGCTCTTCACATACCCATGTGCCCCCTGCTCCTCACATACCCGTGTGGCCCCCCTGCTCCTCACATACCCGTGTGGCCCCCCTGCTCCTACCACGCCCGTGTGCCCCCCTTGCCCCCCACACAACAGGGGCGCCCATCACGGATCGGTCGCGCCTGGCCCAGCCTCGTCCGCGCAACTTTGCGGACTTCCGTGCCGAGCGCCTTGTGGGGCAGGCAGCAGGTGGTGGTGCTGGTGGTGGGGGAGGTGGGGGAGGGTCATCTGGGGGAGGTCCAGCTGGGGGTGGAGGTCCGGGGACACCTGGGAGAGGGGGTATGCGGGGGAGATCGCCCTATGACAGTGTGGACTCTGCTAGTATGGGGAGGCTCGACCTAGGGGGCGGGGGGGGCGGGGGGGGCGGGGGCAGGAGAGGGTCTCTGGACGGCAAGTCGTCAGGTGCAGGGGCCAGGGGCGGGCTGGACGTGTTCGGGCAGCCGTACGGGGGGAGAGGGGGACGCGCGGGGGATGTGGCGGGGGGGGGGGCTAGGGCGAGCTCGGATGATGAGCGGGAGGAGGGGATGCATGTGCGGGGAGGGGGGGCGGGGATGGGAGGGGAGAGGAGACAGCACATAGGGGGGCGGGGGGGGAGGGAGAATATGTATGCGTCGTGGAACGGTGCTGCGGTGCTGGAGGGCGGGGCAGGGGCCGGGGGATCAGAGGGGCATGGCGGGCGGCAGCAGCAGCAGGGGCAGCAGGGGCAGGGAGCAGGGGGGAATCGCGCCACCGCATCTGCTGCAGCAGCGGAGGAGCGAGATGGGGAGGGTGGAAGGCACGGGGATAGTGACAGCGACACTGGCAGGAGACAGCACCGAGGGGCAGCAGCAGCCGCAGGTGCTGCTGCTGGCAGTGGGGGTGGGGCAGGGGGAGGGGGCTCCATGCCCCCCTCTAGGTCCCCCCCTGCGACTGAGTCTGGTAGGCGCCCCTCCTCTCTGCGCGTGGGCGAGCCAGCCGGCTTTGAGGAGGACGGGGCAGCGCAGAGAAAGCCACTCACTCCCAGCAGCGGCGGTGGTAGTGGGGGCAGCAGGGATGGAGCGGGGGCGGGGGGTAGTGGGGGAGGGCGGCCCAGGAGCCCTCTCAGGGGGGGGAGTGGGCATGAGGAGGGGAGGGGAGGGGGGGGCAGCGGGAGGATGACGCCCAAGGGCGCGCGGGAGAGGAAATCGGTCAAGTTTGCGCTGCCGTCGGATGGGGAGGGGGAGAAGAAGGAGCGGGAGGGGGAAAGCGGAGGGGAGGAGAAGAAGGGAGCAGGAGGCGGAGGGAAGGAGGAGGAGAAAAAGGTGGGAGGACAGGTGCCGGTATCGCCTAGTAACAGACGAGGAGCAGCAGGCAGTGCTGGTTCCAGTGCTAGCAGCAGTGGCAGCAGTGGCAGTGGCAGTGGCAATGCTAGTGGCAGCGGTAGTGCGGCGGGTGCGAGTGCGAGTTCCCCGTCCCCGTCGCCTGAGCAGGTGTCGGAGGAGGACTTAAAGCTCATTCGGCCTGACTGGAGGGAGGACGCCGCGAGGGGCGGGTGTGTGGCATGCGGCCAGCTGCAGTGCGACTGCAAGACCAACCCCAACAACCGCACTGATGATGCCGCTGCTGCTGCCGCTGCTGGGAAGAAAGCAGCAGAGGAGAAGAAAGCTAGCAGTGGTGCTGCTGGTGGTGCGGGTGGGGAGGGGAAGGAGGGGGAGAAGGAGGAGGGGGAGAAGAAGGAGGGGGGTAAGAAGGAGGAGAGTGAGGATGAGAAGGCGTCGCCCGCTTCGGCTAAGGAGCTGATGGGGGATGAGCCCATGGCGCCCCTGGGGACCATGAAGTGGAAGCGGGGCGAGCTGCTGGGCGAAGGGGCTTATGGCAAGGTGAGTCGAGATGGTGGGTGCGGTGTGATGGAGAGGAGGGGAGTGAGAGGGGGAGGTGTCACATGCGGTGAGGGAGTTGATGGACCAAGCCGATGGTGCTTCTGGGGACAATGAAGTGGAGGCGAGGCCACCTGCTGCCAGGAGGCGCTGGGGCGACTGTTGTTGAAGGTGGCATCTTGGGGTGGCTGCCTCAAATCCCGCTTGACTCCTGTTTCAAGCTGCATGCCTCCTCCCCAAATCCGTGCGGCTCCCCCCCCATCCTCCACCCCTTCCTCCCCCTAATCACTCACGATACCACCGCCCATGCAGGTCTTCCTGGGTCTGGACGAGATGACGGGCGAGCTGATGGCCGTGAAGCACATCAAGATAATATCCGCTCCGTTCCTCAGTGCCCACCGTACTCTACCCCCTATCACCCACTCTATCGCCCGCCCACCCCTACCACTCACCAGGTCTTCCTGGGTCTGAACGAGATGACGGGCGAGCTGATGGCGGTGAAGCAAATCAAGATGACGTCAGCGGGCGACGAGAAGGCGATGCACATAGCGGCGCTGGAGCAGGAGATCGTGCTGTACCGCAAGATGCGGCACCGCCACATCGTGGCGTACATCGACATGGAGAAGGATGAGTCTGATGGATCCCTCTACATCTTCCTCGAGTTCATCTCTGGAGGCTCCATTCACAGGTGAGACTCTCTAGCCCGAGTTGTGCGGGGGGGGGTGGGGGTTTATCCGCAGGTGGGGGTTGTGCATGCGGAGAAGGGGGGGAGGGGGAGAGGGGGGGGGAGGATGCACATAGAAGCGCTAGAGCAGGAGATCGTGCTGTACCGCGAGATGCGGCACCGCCACATCGTGGCGTACATCGACATGGAGAAGGACGAGAGCGACGGGTCGCTCTACGTCTTCCTGGAGTTCATCTCAGGAGGCTCCATCCAAGGTGAGGCTCTAGGCCCCCCAGTCTATTGGCTCTCAAGGTGGGGTTTAGAGTGAATCATTAGTACCTGCACGACTGCGAGACCATCTCTCGTTCTCCTCCCCCTCCTCTCTGTGCCCCTGCCTTGGCAGCATGTTGGACAAGTTTGGCAAGTTCAGTGAGTCACTGGTGCGCGTGTACACTCGCCAGTTGCTGCTGGGGCTGGAGTACCTGCACGGCTGCAAGATCATCCATCGCGACATCAAGGGTGGCAACGTGCTCGTTGACAGAGACGGGGTCATCAAGCTTGCTGATTTCGGTGCCTCCAAGGTATGCCAATGGAAGGGGGGTGAATCGAAGGTGGGTTAAGGCGATCACGGGGGGAAGAGGAGGGGGGGGGGGGAGAGAGAGGGGGTTTGGTGGTGGTGGTGGGAGAGGGGGGAATGGCGGCAGTGCTGGCGTCTGGAACCTTGTTCCCATGTGTCTTTCTTCCCTTTCCAGACCTAGAGGAACACCATCTGTCTTTCCGTCAACCCTCTCCGTCAACCCTCTCCGTCAACCCTCTCGGTCAACCCTCTCGGTCAACCCTTTCCGTCAACCCTCTCCGTCAACCCTCTCCGTCAACCCTCTCCGTCAACCCTCTCTGTCAACCCTCTCCGTCAACCCTCTCCGTCAACCCTCTCCGTCAACCCTCTCCGTCAACCCTCTCCGTCAACCCTCTCCGTCAACCCTCTCCGTCAACCCTCTCCGTCAACCCTCTCCGTCAACCCTCTCCGTCAACCCTCTCCGTCAACCCTCTCCGTCAACCCTCTCCGTCAACCCTCTCCGTCAACCCTCTCCGTCAACCCTCTCCGTCAACCCTCTCCGTCAACCCTCTCCGTCAACCCTCTCCGTCAACCCTCTCCGTCAACCCTCTCCGTCAACCCTCTCCGTCAACCCTCTCCGTCAACCCTCTCCGTCCCCCTCAGACCCAACCCCCCTGTCAGCCCACTTCCTCCCCCCCCCTTCTCTTCCCCCCCACTGTGGACGATGAGTGTAATTGCAACCATTCCCCAACGAACTGTACCAACTCTCCCCCCATTATAAATCTCTCCCTGCTCCCCTTTCAAGGCCTTCCATGGGGGCGCGGTGGGCGAGGGTTGCAAGTGGATGTGTGGTTCAGTGTCTGGAATGGCCCCAGAGGCAGAGGGGTCCAGCCAAATCCCTCAATTTCCATCCAATCTCAATGCTTCCCTTCCCCCATCACTCCCCTTCCCCCATCACTCACCCTCCATCCCAGGCGTTTCACGAGGGCACGGTGGGCGAGGGGTGCAAGTCCATCCGCGGGTCGGTGTTCTGGATGGCTCCGGAGGTGATCAAGGGCGAGGGGTACGGCCGCCGCGCCGACATCTGGAGCCTGGGCTGCACCGTCATCGAGATGCTCACGGGCAGGTGAGGGAATGACGTGATTTGATATGTCACGGGCAGGTGAGGGAATGACCTGTGGTCGGCACAGGTGGGGTGAGAGTATGAGGTGTGGTCGGCACAGCAGGTGAGAATATGGTCTGTGGTCCCCCCGCCTGCAACCTGAGCTCCCACGGGTGTTTCAGAATCGGTCCCCATTCATAATAACGTCAAACCTTGGCTAATTCTGGGCACCAAGCGCGACCCCCTCCTCCCCCTTTTCCTCTGACAACCCTCCCCCCCATACCTCCCCTCCCTGCCGCCCCTCACAACCATCCACCCGCGGCCCAACATGAACAACACTTGGCCTGGCCTGCCATCTTCCACGTCGCCAACTCAGCCACGGAACCCTTATTGCCTGCTTCCACTCTTCCCCTCTCCTGGCTCTCGGTCACCCAACCACTCCCCACTTCTCCCCCCCCCCCCTTCCCTCTCCCCCCTTCCCCCCCGCAGCCACCCGTGGCCCAACATGGACAACACGTGGTCGGCCATCTTCCACATCGCCAAGACCACCACGGGGCCACCCATCCCCGAGGAGTGCAGCGAGGAGGGCAAGGACTTCCTGGCCGCCTGCTTCCAGCTTGACCCCACCGAACGACCCTCAGCTACCGAGGTGAGCTGGCTTGTGTGAGCCTGCTGCCATTAGTTCTGTGAGGGGTGGGTTGCTGCCTTGTGCTCCGCCCATCCCCGAGGAGTGCAGCGAGGAGGGCAAGCACTTCCTCGCCGCCTGCTTCCAGCTCGACCCAACCGAGAGGCCCTCCGCCACTGAGGTGTGTTGCCTCGTGTGCGCTGATTGCTGTGAGGTATGCTGTGAGTTCCTCCCTCTCCCCCACACCCTGTGGCATGCTGCACACCTTCAGACAAACATACATCCCTTCTCCCCCCCCCCCCCCTCTTCCCACCCCCCCTCCCTCCGAGCAGTTGCTGCAGCACCCCTTTGTGCAAGTGCCCGACACTCCAAGGGAAGCCCGCGGGGGATTCTGATAGGCCCAGCCCGCGTCCGCCCAGCCCGCGTCCGCCCTGCCCTCGCCCGCCCAGCCCTCGTCCTTCCAGCCACCTCTCAGCCTCCGTTCGCTGTGTGAAACAAAACCTCCGTTTTCGAGACGTCCCAAGAGACTTAACATACCTCACGACATGCCGTTTGTAGCTCAGATCAGCACTGCGCAGCACCCCACGGCACCTCACCCGCACAACAGCACACAACACTGCACAGCAGGACAGCACAGCACAGCTCAATTTCCACTGCCTTGCCTCTGCAAGCATCCCTCTCTCTCTCATCCTTTTCTACTCATCTCCATCTGCTCTTTCCTGTCACCTTCCCAGCTTGTTTTTAGCCTCTAGGTTGAGGTTATTTGGCTGAGCTTGCTTTGCTCCATGCCTCCCTTGCCTCCGTGCCGAGCCTGCCTTACATGCCGAGCCTACCTTGCCGAGTCTCGTTAGCAATGCCTTGTGTTCCTTGCTTGGTTCTCCAGTTTTCCCCCGAACCTGTTTTTCCGCTTGTTCCTGACCACTTGCGTGCCGCCTTGCCTGATCCTATATGTGCCAAACTAAGCCCCTCGTGCGGTTACCATCCAAGTCCTATGTAGCTTATCCGTATGTTCCATATGTCCTATGCGTATTCTGCTCATTTTTGCCGACTTGTCAATGATATTTATCGTGTATACTTGTTACATTTGATCCATTGATCTTACTACTCGTGATAATTTGTGGCAAGAAATGTAGTGTTTTCACCTTTGCATGGCCATGTTGGAACCGTATCGAGTATGCATGAATATATATTGCTCCAAGGGACGGCTCGTCGGATGAAACGACTGACGAACCGCTTGCGGAATATAGGAGGCTCAGCAGTTACTACTGTAATATGCTGCAGCCCACAGCACCGTAGCTTAGTATTCCCCGCTTCGACTGCTCTGATGCTCGCCGATTCTCGTATTGCCCGTCCAGGCTCGTTCCCGCACCCGTCACCGTCGATTCCCTTGCCATGCGCTGCCAGCATTCTGACACGTGTCAGAAGTCGATCTTTAGTGGACCGCCAACGGTTTGGCCTGACAAGTAGCCGCGGCCGCGCTTCGTCCGAGATTCGCCTAACTGAACGCTACCCGTCGGTTTCGGCGGAATTAAGTTGTTCGAACCTCAGGAAGAAGATCAGATCGCCTGACAGCTCGCTGTTATTCGTTACTCCTCTCGCTCGGTGTTCCGCCTCCGCCGCACGGAGCTCTTTCTGCGGTTTGAATCGGTGCAGAGCGGTGACTCAGCTCCTTCGCAACTCGGAGCTTCTATGTTCTGCCAATCCACAAATCCGACGGTCTAGCTTCGTTGCGCGCTTATTGAGCACTCTCGCCGGTTGGCCTGGTCGTAAACCGTTATCGAATCAGCTCTCAGCGGGAATCTCCGCTTTAGTACCCCCTGGCATTATGAGCGAATTGGGCGAGCCTGATCGTTCGCCACGTGGCAAGCAAAAGGAGATGACACGTGTCTACGTGGTGTCAGACATTCACACGGATCACGCGGAAAACATGGAGTGGCTGGAACGTGTGGCGGCGAAACGGCAGCTGTCGGAAGGTTCGGGGAAGGAGTGTGACATACTCATTTTGGCAGGCGACGTTACGGACAATCTCGAGGTCAGGTGGGTTTCCAGGTGGGTCGTCAGGTGGGCGGTCAGGTGGATTGCCAGGTGGGCAGTCCTTAGCGAGGCCTCTCAGATGAGGTTCCTCTGATGGTGCCTGGATGTCGGGCTGGTGGATCATCAGGTGGATCATCAGGTGGATCATCAGGTGGATCACCAGGTGGACCATCTGGTGGATCAATCAGGTGGATCATCAGGTGGATCATCAGGTGGATCAACAGGTGGGTCATGACGTGGGTCATGAGGTGGCATCTCCATCTCTCACAGCCTTCATTCTTCCATCCCTCTACCCAGCATTCGGACTTTATCAGGGTTTCTGCGCGCATGCATTGATGCATGCACGCATTCACGGCGCCTTAGTCAGCTAGCTTCCCCCCCGTCTCTCCGTCAATCTTCCGGTAACGCCCCTTCGCCCTGCTGGCACCGCCATTCCATTCTCTCCCTCCCTGCTGCAGGTACTCTCGCGCACGTTCCAGCTGCTGACGTCAGCCTTCCACCACGTCTTCTTCATTCCTGGGAACCACGAGCTCTGGTGCCGCCAGCACGGCCACCACAGCCAACACGACCAGCACAGCCGCCACAGCCACCACAGCCAACACGATCACCACAGCCACCACAGCCAACACGACCACCTTGGGCATCAAGAGGATGGAGGAAAAGGCTCTGAAACCATTCCTTCCCCTACCGCGCGCTCCCCTTCCGCACTCTCCCCTGAGCCCTTCACCTCGCTGCACAAGCTGACAAAGGTGCTACAGTGCTGCGAGCGGTGGGGAGTGCACACGAAACCGATGCGGGTCGGCGGTGTTTGGATCGTTCCCCTCTGGTCCTGGCACCACCAGGTAACTCTAGACCGAGGTGGCTGAACGACGGTTCCCATTGGTCCTGGCACCACCAGGTAACTCTAGACCGAGGTGGCTGAACGACGGTTCCCATTGGTCTTGGCACCACCAGGTAACTCTAGACCGAGGTGGCTGAACGACGGTTCCCATTGGTCCTGGCACCACCAGGTAACTCTAGACCGAGGTGGCTGAACGACGGTTCCCATTGGTCCTGGCACCACCAGGTAACTCTAGACCGAGGTGGCTGAACGACGGTTCCCATTGGTCCTGGCACCACCAGGTAACTCTGGACCGAGGTGGCTGAACGACGGTTCCCATTGGTCCTGGCACCACCAGGTAACTCTGGACCGAGGTGGCTGAACGACGGTTCCCATTGGTCCTGGCACCACCAGGTAACTCTAGACCGAGGTGGCTGAACGACGGTTCCCATTGGTCCTGGCACCACCAGGTAACTCTGGACCGAGGTGGCTGAACGACGGTTCCCATTGGTCCTGGCACCACCAGGTAACTCTAGACCGAGGTGGCTGAACGACGGTTCCCATTGGTCCTGGCACCACCAGGTAACTCTAGACCGAGGTGGCTGAACGACGGTTCCCATTGGTCCTGGCACCACCAGGTAACTCTGGACCGAGGTGGCTGAACGACGGTTCCCATTGGTCCTGGCACCACCAGGTAACTCTGGACCGAGGTGGCTGAACGACGGTTCCCATTGGTCCTGGCACCACCAGGTAACTCTGGACCGAGGTGGCTGAACGACGGTTCCCATTGGTCCTGGCACCACCAGGTAACTCTAGACCGAGGTGGCTGAACGACGGTTCCCATTGGTCCTGGCACCACCAGGTAACTCTGGACCGAGGTGGCTGAACGACGGTTCCCATTGGTCCTGGCACCACCAGGTAACTCTAGACCGAGGTGGCTGAACGACGGTTCCCATTGGTCCTGGCACCACCAGGTAACTCTAGACCGAGGTGGCTGAACGACGGTTCCCATTGGTCCTGGCACCACCAGGTAACTCTAGACCGAGGTGGCTGAACGACGGTTCCCATTGGTCCTGGCACCACCAGGTAACTCTGGACCGAGGTGGCTGAACGACGGTTCCCATTGGTCCTGGCACCACCAGGTAACTCTGGACCGAGGTGGCTGAACGACGGTTCCCATTGGTCCTGGCACCACCAGGTAACTCTGGACCGAGGTGGCTGAACGACGGTTCCCATTGGTCCTGGCACCACCAGGTAACTCTGGACCGAGGTGGCTGAACGACGGTTCCCATTGGTCCTGGCACCACCAGGTAACTCTGGACCGAGGTGGCTGAACGACGGTTCCCATTGGTCCTGGCACCACCAGGTAACTCTGGACCGAGGTGGCTGAACGACGGTTCCCATTGGTCCTGGCACCACCAGGTAACTCTGGACCGAGGTGGCTGAACGACGGTTCCCATTGGTCCTGGCACCACCAGGTAACTCTGGACCGAGGTGGCTGAACGACGGTTCCCATTGGTCCTGGCACCACCAGGTAACTCTGGACCGAGGTGGCTGAACGACGGTTCCCATTGGTCCTGGCACCACCAGGTAACTCTGGACCGAGGTGGCTGAACGACGGTTCCCATTGGTCCTGGCACCACCAGGTAACTCTGGACCGAGGTGGCTGAACGACGGTTCCCATTGGTCCTGGCACCACCAGGTAACTCTGGACCGAGGTGGCTGAACGACGGTTCCCATTGGTCCTGGCACCACCAGGTAACTCTGGACCGAGGTGGCTGAACGACGGTTCCCATTGGTCCTGGCACCACCAGGTAACTCTGGACCGAGGTGGCTGAACGACGGTTCCCATTGGTCCTGGCACCACCAGGTAACTCTGGACCGAGGTGGCTGAACGACGGTTCCCATTGGTCCTGGCACCACCAGGTAACTCTGGACCGAGGTGGCTGAACGACGGTTCCCATTGGTCCTGGCACCACCAGGTAACTCTGGACCGAGGTGGCTGAACGACGGTTCCCATTGGTCCTGGCACCACCAGGTAACTCTGGACCGAGGTGGCTGAACGACGGTTCCCATTGGTCCTGGCACCACCAGGTAACTCTGGACCGAGGTGGCTGAACGACGGTTCCCATTGGTCCTGGCACCACCAGGTAACTCTGGACCGAGGTGGCTGAACGACGGTTCCCATTGGTCCTGGCACCACCAGGTAACTCTGGACCGAGGTGGCTGAACGACGGTTCCCATTGGTCCTGGCACCACCAGGTAACTCTGGACCGAGGTGGCTGAACGACGGTTCCCATTGGTCCTGGCACCACCAGGTAACTCTGGACCGAGGTGGCTGAACGACGGTTCCCATTGGTCCTGGCACCACCAGGTAACTCTGGACCGAGGTGGCTGAACGACGGTTCCCATTGGTCCTGGCACCACCAGGTAACTCTGGACCGAGGTGGCTGAACGACGGTTCCCATTGGTCCTGGCACCACCAGGTAACTCTGGACCGAGGTGGCTGAACGACGGTTCCCATTGGTCCTGGCACCACCAGGTAACTCTAGACCGAGGTGGCTGAACGACGGTTCCCATTGGTCCTGGCACCACCAGGTAACTCTAGACCGAGGTGGCTGAACGACGGTTCCCATTGGTCCTGGCACCACCAGGTAACTCTGGACCGAGGTGGCTGAACGACGGTTCCCATTGGTCCTGGCACCACCAGGTAACTCTGGACCGAGGTGGCTGAACGACGGTTCCCATTGGTCCTGGCACCACCAGGTAACTCTGGACCGAGGTGGCTGAACGACGGTTCCCATTGGTCCTGGCACCACCAGGTAACTCTGGACCGAGGTGGCTGAACGACGGTTCCCATTGGTCCTGGCACCACCAGGTAACTCTGGACCGAGGTGGCTGAACGACGGTTCCCATTGGTCCTGGCACCACCAGGTAACTCTGGACCGAGGTGGCTGAACGACGGTTCCCATTGGTCCTGGCACCACCAGGTAACTCTGGACCGAGGTGGCTGAACGACGGTTCCCATTGGTCCTGGCACCACCAGGTAACTCTGGACCGAGATGGCTGAACGACGGTTCCCATTGGTCCTGGCACCACCAGGTAACTCTCGACCGAGGTGGCTGAACGACGGTTCCCATTGGTCCTGGCACCACCAGGTAACTCTGGACCGAGGTGGCTGAACGACGGTTCCCATTGGTCCTGGCACCACCAGGTAACTCTGGACCGAGGTGGCTGAACGACGGTTCCCATTGGTCCTGGCACCACCAGGTAACTCTGGACCGAGGTGGCTGAACGACGGTTCCCATTGGTCCTGGCACCACCAGGTAACTCTGGACCGAGGTGGCTGAACGACGGTTCCCATTGGTCCTGGCACCACCAGGTAACTCTGGACCGAGGTGGCTGAACGACGGTTCCCATTGGTCCTGGCACCACCAGGTAACTCTGGACCGAGGTGGCTGAACGACGGTTCCCATTGGTCCTGGCACCACCAGGTAACTCTGGACCGAGGTGGCTGAACGACGGTTCCCATTGGTCCTGGCACCACCAGGTAACTCTGGACCGAGGTGGCTGAACGACGGTTCCCATTGGTCCTGGCACCACCAGGTAACTCTGGACCGAGGTGGCTGAACGACGGTTCCCATTGGTCCTGGCACCACCAGGTAACTCTGGACCGAGGTGGCTGAACGACGGTTCCCATTGGTCCTGGCACCACCAGGTAACTCTGGACCGAGGTGGCTGAACGACGGTTCCCATTGGTCCTGGCACCACCAGGTAACTCTGGACCGAGGTGGCTGAACGACGGTTCCCATTGGTCCTGGCACCACCAGGTAACTCTGGACCGAGGTGGCTGAACGACGGTTCCCATTGGTCCTGGCACCACCAGGTAACTCTGGACCGAGGTGGCTGAACGACGGTTCCCATTGGTCCTGGCACCACCAGGTAACTCTGGACCGAGGTGGCTGAACGACGGTTCCCATTGGTCCTGGCACCACCAGGTAACTCTGGACCGAGGTGGCTGAACGACGGTTCCCATTGGTCCTGGCACCACCAGGTAACTCTGGACCGAGGTGGCTGAACGACGGTTCCCATTGGTCCTGGCACCACCAGGTAACTCTGGACCGAGGTGGCTGAACGACGGTTCCCATTGGTCCTGGCACCACCAGGTAACTCTGGACCGAGGTGGCTGAACGACGGTTCCCATTGGTCCTGGCACCACCAGGTAACTCTGGACCGAGGTGGCTGAACGACGGTTCCCATTGGTCCTGGCACCACCAGGTAACTCTGGACCGAGGTGGCTGAACGACGGTTCCCATTGGTCCTGGCACCACCAGGTAACTCTGGACCGAGGTGGCTGAACGACGGTTCCCATTGGTCCTGGCACCACCAGGTAACTCTGGACCGAGGTGGCTGAACGACGGTTCCCATTGGTCCTGGCACCACCAGGTAACTCTGGACCGAGGTGGCTGAACGACGGTTCCCATTGGTCCTGGCACCACCAGGTAACTCTGGACCGAGGTGGCTGAACGACGGTTCCCATTGGTCCTGGCACCACCAGGTAACTCTGGACCGAGGTGGCTGAACGACGGTTCCCATTGGTCCTGGCACCACCAGGTAACTCTGGACCGAGGTGGCTGAACGACGGTTCCCATTGGTCCTGGCACCACCAGGTAACTCTGGACCGAGGTGGCTGAACGACGGTTCCCATTGGTCCTGGCACCACCAGGTAACTCTGGACCGAGGTGGCTGAACGACGGTTCCCATTGGTCCTGGCACCACCAGGTAACTCTGGACCGAGGTGGCTGAACGACGGTTCCCATTGGTCCTGGCACCACCAGGTAACTCTGGACCGAGGTGGCTGAACGACGGTTCCCATTGGTCCTGGCACCACCAGGTAACTCTGGACCGAGGTGGCTGAACGACGGTTCCCATTGGTCCTGGCACCACCAGGTAACTCTGGACCGAGGTGGCTGAACGACGGTTCCCATTGGTCCTGGCACCACCAGGTAACTCTGGACCGAGGTGGCTGAACGACGGTTCCCATTGGTCCTGGCACCACCAGGTAACTCTGGACCGAGGTGGCTGAACGACGGTTCCCATTGGTCCTGGCACCACCAGGTAACTCTGGACCGAGGTGGCTGAACGACGGTTCCCATTGGTCCTGGCACCACCAGGTAACTCTGGACCGAGGTGGCTGAACGACGGTTCCCATTGGTCCTGGCACCACCAGGTAACTCTCGACCGATCTGATGCTGAGGGATAGTGGTTGTGTGCCATGTGCGCTCCCCCTGTGCTCTGCCCTCCCTGTGCTCTGCCCTCCCTGTGCTCTGCCCTCCCTGTGCTCTGCCCTCCCTGTGCTCTGCCCTCCCTGTGCTCTGCCCTCCCTGTGCTCTGCCCTCCCTGTGCTCTGCCCTCCCTGTGCTCTGCCCTCCCTGTGCTCTGCCCTCCCTGTGCTCTACCCTACCTGTGCTCTGCCCCCCTGTGCGATCCTGTGCAGAGCTTCGACACCGAACCTGACATTCCGAACCTCCGACTCCCATCGCTGCGTAAGGTAGGCTACCCATCCGCCTGTAAATCGACCTTTCACTACCACACACACACGTGTGCACATGCACATAGGCACGCATGCACACACACAAGCACGCAACACACACACACACACACACACACACACACACACGTGCATGCATGCACGCGCACACATCGCCCTGCCCTCCGCTCCTTCACAGCCCCTCACAGCCATACCCATCGCCTTTGTTCCCCTGCAGGCCTGCATGGACTACCGAGTGTGCGTCTGGCCGCCTCACCTCACCCCCTCACACTCCCCTCCTCGCTCACCCTCCTCCTCCTCCTCCTCCTCCTCCTCCTCCTCCTCCTCCTCCTCCTCCTCCTCCTCCTCCTCACCGCAATCCACCGCACCGCACTCCACTGCAGCACAACGCCCCTCACCCTCTCTCTCTTTAGGGGACGGAGGGGACGCCCTGGCAGCTCATTTTGATGCCATGAACGACCGGCCACTGCAGCAGCTGGCAGCTGACCACCCTAGTTTGTTCCCTGCTCTGCTGGGCTCGCTGGCATCTCCCCCCTGTGTGGCCAACACCACGGCCACTGCCGCTCCCACTGCTGCTGCCATTGGCACTGTGAGCATCAACGGCACCCTGCCTCTTGTCACCAGCTCTCTTGCTTCTGCTCCCGTGTCTCTGAGTGCGCGTGAAAGCGGTGGTGCCGTGGGGCGGGAGGACGCTGCAGAGGCGGCTCAGATCATCTCCTTCTCGCACTTCCTGCCAAGGTATGCGCTCATCTGTGTGCTTATGAGCACGTGCGTCTGCGGATGGGTGCAGGCATGAGTCGAATCCTGCCTCCGTATGCCTGTGTGCGACTCTTTTGTTGCGTGCTGATCGTTGGGCTGGTGCTGTATTGCAACGCAATGCATGGTGCTTAACGGGCGTGATGTGCTTAACGATTCAATCTGGAGTATCTTCTTCTATTTCGTAGTTAGCGGGTATGTACTGGCAGTTGTGTGTACACACTGCAGAACACGCGTATGCTGCTGTGATCCAACTTTCAACCTTGAAAATATTCTCTCCCCTTCCCCCCTCTTGCTTCCTCCTTCGACCTGTTTCCCCACGCCTGACCTCTCAGATTCGATGTGCTCCTCGAGAAGCGCATGTTGCTGTGCCCAGCCCAACCTTCAAAACTCCCCTGCTCTCCCCCACCCTACCCCCACCCCACCCCCTCTGGCCCTCCTTCCCGTACACCCTCTCAGGATCGATCTACTCCCTGAGAAGCGCATGCTGCTGTACCCAAACCTCGCCAAGATGGCGGGCTCCCACTGGTTGGAAGCGCGTGTGCGGGCCGTGCATGGACCACATGGTGCGCCCACGGCGTGCCATGTGTTCGGGCACACGCACTTCCACTGGGACTCCAGGGTCGATGGCATCAGGTAACAGAAATCATTCCCTCCACCTCGCTTGAGCACCTCCGTGCGTCTGATGGACGGCGCTCAACGCTTTCTTGCTGATTGCTCTCCTCGGGACCAGCACCTGCGTTGTCTCATCAGGAACGGGTCATCCATTCTCTCTCTGCCATCCTGAGAGAGAGCGCGCACGTTTGACGGTCTGTCCCCCTTTTGCCCTCACATAGGTACATCCAGGCCCCTCTGTGCTACCCCCGGGAGAGAGAGAGGAGACGCCATGCAGCCAGCAAGAACAGCAAAGAAGGCACTAACAGCAATGGTAGTGACAGCAATGGCAGCGTGAAGCAGAGCTCAGATGACCCCTGGCTGCCGTTTCTGCTGTACGATTCGTCAACAGGAGGGCTCAATACGAGTTTGTTGCAGAGCCATTGGTCCAATTATTACCTGTCGCACTCAAGACAGCCTGCTGTGACTGATCTGGCGCCCTGGGTTGCAGCAAGATATGCAGGCAGAATGCGGGTGGCCGCAAGTGAAACTACATGATCACCTTGTTGTACCACATTGCACGACAGCTGAAACTGAAGGCAGAATTATCTTCTGGAGTTGGTGAATCAGATACAACCATACAACTCATTCTGCTCGGGGGAATCAATAAGCTACCGTATTCAAACTTGGCGAACTTGTCAAATCAGGACACTGTTTGCATTGAACCAACACAACGCAATACATGTCAATGGTGTCACAATTCGAGGTTTATGTATTATGCCCGTGCCATAATGAAGCCCACCTAATGCTCCATGGATCATGGATAAAGATAAAGGTTATGCATGTAAACATATCCTCCTGAAAGATCAGCTTAACGTATTGCAGCTTTGCTGCAAAGTTCTCTACTTAGCGGTGTGGCGTCTACCCAATTTGCGGTATTATCCGAGAACGGTAGGCCAAAAGCGATTTCACCAATCACAGAGCTCGGTTGAGTTGCCCTCGAGATACTGTTTATCTTAGCCTGCCTTACCTAGCCAGTGCTGGTTCGTTCAGGCCTCTCATCTTAGGTTCGGACGAGGTGTTTGGCAGCTTTTCGCCGATATGCCGGCCCCAGTCGCAACCTGGACGGCATTCGGCGGGAATCGAGGCTCGACGAAAGGCTTTGGTCTGGTCCGGTTTGCCCGCGCGACATCCCGCGACTGACATTCTTGCTGGAGAGCGAGTATTTCACCCTGCGTCGCATTCGTCGCATCCCTTGAGCCCAGAGGGTGTAACCTGCCGACATCATCGTCGCACAAAGCTGAGACCAGTGTATAAGATCGACGGAACAGATGTGGCGGGAACATGATCCAGCGGTCAATCTCGTCTTTATGCTCTGCCTCATCCACCGGTCTCAAAACGAAGCAGCAGTAGCAACATCACACACCAACTTCCAAAAGCGGGAGCAAGGGGGAGTTGAGGGAGGAGAATGGAGCATTACGGTTAGCTTCGGTTCGCATAGTTCTAGCTTGTCTCGGCTCGGTTTGGCCGCTTATATTTCGCTGTCACACTGTCAGCGGGGCTAGCGTTTTGCTTGGCTGGTCAGTCGCTGGATGACTTGGAGTAAGCACAGCCACAAGCAAGAACAGCGCATAAAGGCATCCTTCGACAGACAGATTGCTTGACATACAAGCAAGAACAGTCTCACATTCAGGAATCACGGGTGAGCTGTTCAACAGATTACTTCGTCGACTGTCTACCGCAGTTCCTTACTTTACAATATTCGGCCGCGATGGTTTGGTCTACGAGCCAGCCGACATCCGCATTGTTCTCCGTCCAGAGAGCGTTCGGCCGAAACAACGGGCGGAGCAGCGATGGACCGGACCCGGAATCAGCCGCCAATTCTCACGTCGGTCGCGAACCCGCTGCGTTCTCGCCCGCTCGGAGTCTGGATCATAGCGCCGAGTCTCTTGGACCAGCCAACCGCGGACCGCTGATGGAAATCTCGAGTGACACAGCCGACAGCTCTCCCTCCAGAAACCTACCCGAAATCCCCGAGGATGGCAGCCGGCGCTCGTCGCTCGCCGAGCCCGCAGCGGAGGACACCGCGGAGGAGATCGAGGAGCGGCAGCGCCTGCTGGTCGGCTGGCGCCGCGTGCCGCACAACCGGTCCCTCGACGACCTCCACTCGTCCGTCTACGTCCCTCCGCCGGAATCGGCCTGGTACTACAAGCTGTTCGCGTTCACGGGGCTAGGGTTTGTGGTGAGCGTGGGGTACATGGACCCGGGGAACTGGGCGACGGACATCGCGGGAGGGTCGTCGTTCGGCTACACGCTGCTGTTCGTCGTGCTCATGTCGTCCGTCTGCGCCATGTTCCTCCAGAGCCTCTCCCTAAAGCTCGGCGTCGTCGGCGAGCGCGACCTCGCGCAGGCGTGCCGCGACGCGTACCCGCGGTACGCGAATCTCACGCTCTGGATCCTCGCGGAGATCGCCATCGCGGCGACGGACCTCGCGGAGGTGATCGGGTCCGCGACCGCCATGTACCTGCTCTTCGGCTTGCCGCTGTGGATAGGCATCCTTATAACGGGCGCGGATTGCCTCCTTATAGTCTTCCTCGGCGGGCGCAACGCGCGCGTCTTGGAGCTGCTGATCTTCCTCCTGTGCGCGGTGATCGCGGCGTGCATGACGTACGAGCTGATCGCCGTGCGGCCCGACTGGGGCCTGGTGATGAAGGGGTTCGTGCCGTCGGGGCAGATTTTCACCAACCCCGACGTGCTGTACGCCGCCGTGGGCATCCTGGGAGCCACCGTCATGCCGCACAACCTCTACCTGCACTCCAGCATCATCCAGACGCGCAACTACAGCCGCACGGCGGAGGGGAAACGCATGGCCGTCCGCTACGGGACCTGGGACTCGTGCCTGTCGCTCTTCGTCGCGTTCTTCGTCAATGCGGCGATTCTGATTCTCGCAGCCGCCGCGTTTTACTACAACGCGTCGGGCCAGCAGACGGTGGCTGACATCAGCGACGCGTACCATCTCCTCGCTCCGGCCATCGGCGACACGGCCGCTCGCATCCTCTTTGGCGTGGCGCTGCTGGCGAGCGGGCAGAATTCGACCATCACGGGAACCCTCGCGGGGCAGATAGTGATGGAAGGGTTCGTGGACGTGAAGCTGCCGCCGTGGCTGCGCCGCATGGTCACCCGCTGCATCGCCATCATCCCCGCCGTCATCGTTGCCGCGCTCAGCGGCATGGAAGGCGCCGGGAAGCTTCTGGTGCTGAGCCAGGTGATTCTGTCGCTGCAGCTGCCGTTTGCCATTGCGCCTCTGGTGCACTTCACGTCGTCCCCCGCTCGCATGGGGAAGTTTGTGAACGGGTGGGTGAGCACCATCCTGGCGATTCTCCTGACGCTGGCCATTATTGGGCTCAATGGGTTCCTCGTGGTGCAGTGGGCCATTGGTGGTTAGGGAGTGGGCCATTGGTGGCTAGGGTGGGTGGGATGTTTGGGGTTGGTTGGTGGATGGGCTATGTTGTGCGGCCATGGTTCCACAATTTTGCAGATACCGGTAGGTGTTTGGACCATCTGGGTCTCGTGGACACGGTAGACGCTTTTTGGCTCCTGCTGACAGATAGGGAGTTGATTCCGCCAGAAATAAGGGCTGTGGAAGGGATTTGACCAGCGCTGGCGCATTGCTGTGTGGGCGTTTTTGAAGTGCGAGAGATGAACGGAGGTACTATTTCTGCTGGATTCTGTTTGGGCGAGCACTAGATGCTGCTTTCTGTCAGAAACCCAGTCACTAACCACTGGGTTAAAAGGGCTTGTTGAATAGCGGGTAAGTGCGCCCATAGCCCCCCAGGCTCTGCACCTGTGGCCCTTCCCCAAGGATCTCAAGGGCAACCCCAGCGGGTCACTCAACACTTTCCCGACATTTATGCAGTTTCATCTGCATCCATCTGAAGTTCCATCACCAGTGAAGAAACTTGAATCCCGGTTTGAGAATTTATGTGAGGCTGGTTGGTTGTATAGCGTCTGTAGTAAACCTCTTCTACTTCGATCTTACCAACAATGTAGTTAGATTCTCGATTGTCCATAAGTGTTATGAACTCTCACTCAGAGTATAGCGCAGAATACTAAAGGGGAGCATGACTACAAATCATACAGAATGTCCTATCCCAATGAGACCAAGGCTGATATAGCGAGAGTTGGCCAAGGTTGAACCTCGAGAGCTGGACCAGTCAAGGGCTCGGTAGTCCCGAGGGTGATGGGGTCAAATTGGGTTCGGGGCGCCTTGGTAACAGGTGTCAAATGTAACTTAGGTCGTTACTGTAGACTATACTGGATTGTGCCTTAGAGGGTACAACACCCTAGTCTATATACCCTTGTACTCACACATGCTAGTTTAATTATTCTTTCTGATATGGTATCATAGTAGGTTAGGTTCCCCCCCTAGCCCGCCCACGCTTCCGCCCCCTAGGCCCTAGCCACCGTCGTGCCCCGCTCCTAGCCGGCCCTCCTGGCCGTCGCGCTCGTCCCTAGCCGGCCCCCTGACCGTCGCGTCCGCCCCTAGCCGCCCCCCTGGCCGTCACGTCCGTCCCTAGCTGGCCCCCTGGCCGTCGCGTCCGACCCCTAGCCGCCCCCCTGGCCGTAGCGTCTGCCCCTAGCCGGCCCCCTGGCCGTCGCGTCCGCCCCTAGCCGGCCCCCAGGCCGTCGCGTCCGCCCCTAGCCGGCCCCTTGGCCGTCGCACCCGTCCCTAGCTGGCCCCCTGGCCGTCGCGTCCGCCCGTAGCCGGCCCCCTGGCCGTCGCGCCCGTCCCTAGCCGGCCCCCTGGCCGTCGCGTCCGCCCCTAGCCGCCCCCCTGGTCTTCACGTCCGCCCCTAGCCGGCCCCTTGGCCGTCGCACCCGTCCCTAGTCGGCCCCCTGGCCGTCGCGTCCGCCCCTAGCCGGCCCCCTGGCCGTCGCGTCCGTCCCTAGCCGGCCCCCTGGCCGTCGCGCTCGTCCCTAGCCGCCCCCCTGGCCGCCGCGTCCGCCCCTAGCCGGCCCCCGGGCCGTCACGTCCGCCCCTAGCCGCCCCCCTGGCCATCGCGCCCGTCCCTAGTCGCCCCCCTGGCCGTCGCGTCCGTCCCTAGCCGGCCCCCTGGCCGTCGCGTCCGCCCATAGCCGGCTCCCTGGCCGTCGCGTCTGCCCCTAGACGGCCCCCCTGGCCGTCGCGTCTACAGTAAACGGTAACGAAACCGGAATAGACGGGTCGGTAACGAGAGAGGCAAGGACACGAGGAACAAGTGGACGAGCAGCACGCAGGTAGTCAGACAGAGGGGAGGGAGCAACGACAAGGGAGGACGGAGGGGGCGACGGGAGAAGGGGAGGACGAGACGCGTGGGAACGAAGCAACTTAGGGTGAGAGCGCGAGACAGGGGAGACAGGTCGAGCACGGGAGGGACGGCGAGACCAGACGTGAGACGGAGGAGTCGGGTCAGGGGACAAAGGAGGGGACACAAGAGGGGAACGAGGGGGGAAACGGTCCGGAGACGAGTCCGGAGGAGGGAACACAGGGCCGTAGACAGGAGGAGGAGGAGGTAAAGGCACGGGGTCAGGGGACGGAAGGCCAAGCAGGCAAAGACCGGACACCGGCGGGGACTGCTGTGGCGGTGGTGTGCCACCGACACCGGGACCGCAAGCTGCCTGGCGGCTACTTCCAGAACACTCCACGCCAGCACCCCCAGAAGGAACACCCCCAGAGCTCAGAACCCCTCGAGCACCGGTACCACCCCCAGGCCTGCCGGGACAAGCCACGACAGGAGTTCCAGGACTAGTACCCACCCCAACTCCAGCACCCCCAGAGGCAACGAACTGCTGCGGCGACGGCTGCGGCGGTGGCAGCGGCTGCAACGACGGCTGCGGCGGCGGTGACGACGGCTGTGACAGCGATGGCGATGGCGGCTGCAGAGGCGGCGGAGGAGGAGACACCTGAGAAGGGGCAGGCGGCGAGGACTGCGCCGCAGGACCACCAGAGTCAGCAGTCTCCTCAACCGGGACACCCGACGTAAGTGGGGTGACGTGGGACACACCAGAGGGGGCAGGATGGGGAGGGGGAGGAGGAGGGGCTGCGACGACTGGGGAAGGGGTGACCAGGAACAGGGGGGGGGTAACCGGGGGACCTCGGTGGGGGAAGTGGCGGAAGAAGGAGACGGACTCGTCAAAGGTGACGTCACGAGAGTGAAAGAACCGGTGAGACGGTGGGTGGTAGAAGTGCCAGTCAGACTCGTCAAGGGGGAAGCCGAGGAAGACACAGGGAAGGGTGCAGGCAGTGAGCTTGTCCGTGCCAGAGGCACGAACGTGAGCAAGGCAGCCCCAGACGTGGAACGCAGACGCGTCACCAGGTGACCCAGACCAGAGGAGGGTCGGCAAAAACTGAGGCTGCTGGGGGTGCGGCCACAAGTTAAGCTGGTGAGCGGCGTAGCGAACGGCGAACGGCCACACAAAATGGGGTGCCTCGACATGGATCATGGAGGTGCGAGCCACCTCCATGACCAAACCGATGCGTCGCTCAGCTCCCCATTCTGCTGCGGGGAGTCCGGCAAGGTGAACGTCAGGGTGATGCCCTCGGCACGACAGAAACGACCAAGGACACCAGAGGCAAACTCGCCACCACGGTCGGAGTGGAGACGCAAGACAGGGAGACCACGGTGGACACGCGCAGAGACAAGCCACGGGATAAGAACAGAAGGCACGTCGGCCTTCCGCTCCAGGGGGAACACAGTGGTGTAGCGCGTGTAGTCGTCGACAAGCACTAGGAAGTAGCGCTCTCGACGTGGCCCATGGACGGGGGCGGGGCCCCAGACGTCCATGTGCAGAGTCTGTAGCGGTGCTACAGTAGGGGGAAATGAGGAGGAGTGAGGGGCACGGCGGAGCTGGCCCTCGATACAAGGCGTGCAAGGTGGGGCTGCGGAGGAGGGAAACTCGGGGAATGACCCGGGGAGGCCTAGGACGAGACCGTGCTGTGACATGTGACGCAGACGCGGGAGCGCAGGGTGACCTAGGCGGTGGTGCCAGAGAAGAGTCGGGTGAGTGAGAGACCGACAGGAGTAGGCAGCAACAACCGGGGGAGACGCAGTCACCTGTGGGGGGGTCCCAGCTGGGGGGGTCACCGTGTCCAGTGTGAAAAGACCGGACACCGGGTCCCGTGGGAACGTGGACAGGGGGGCACCAGTGGCGGCCTCGGTACAGACAGCGTACCGCTCGTGTCCAAGGAACGTAGTGGTGACGCCAAGGTCCTGAAGGTAGCCGACACCAACTAGGTTCCTGGAGAACGAGGGAATGTGCAGTCCTGTGAGCGAGCCCGAAGGAACCGCCGGGCAGGGGAGGGTGGTGGAATTGCGGGCGACTGCTGGGCCGGAGGAGGGGTCAGCAAGAGAGACTGTGGCAGGGACAGGAAGCGGTGTCAACGTGGTGGAGTCGCGGAAGAAGCACCGGGAAGCGCAAGAGTCGAGGGTGAAGGAGAGCGCGGCAGTGGTGGCCGGAGGCGAAGCAGCGACGGAAGCACCAAGGCTAAACAAAGCAGGGGATCTTACGCCTGACGCAGCAGGGGAGTCTAAGCAAGGCACACCTACACTAGGCAACAAGGGGTAATAAGGCGGAAGCACACTAGAGTCATCAGCATACATCACATGCAGAGCACTAACAATCTCATCCATATCCAGATCAAAAATCTGAACCCTACGACGAAGCAAACTGTTCCAGTCTGGGAGCTCGGGCGACGGGCCGAAACGCTGACGAAACAGGTCGTCCAGGCGACGGAAACAGCGGACGGAGGCGTGACCGATCTTACCGCAAAAGAAGCCACGACGAGGACCGGTCTGGAGCAGGTACTGACAGCGCGCGTCACCCGAACCACCACCCAGCAGCCCACCACGCGCACCACCACCACGTCCAGCGCTACCACCGGCGCCAAGCCACCCGGGCGGGAGACCACTCGCCCGTCTCTGCTGCGGCTGCTGCGGCTGACGCGAGTCCGGCTGCAACGCCGGCGGCTGCTGAGACGGCTGCTCGGCTACACTTGGCAGGGTCCCCTCGTCCGCACCACCACCAGGAGACCCAGCTCCAGCACCACCTACACCTGCACCCCCACCCCTGCCGCCACGCCCAGCCTTGGGGCGGCGACCCTTCCCCGGACGGACCTATGCTGCAGCGGGAGTCTCAGCCACAGCAACAGATTTGTCAGAGAAGGTGCACTAAGCGGGGGCGCAACCCTGAAAGAGAGGGACCAGCACAGTACCGCTGGTCGGAGCGATAGAGCTGTGGCGGGCCTCTATAGCGGACAGGGTGTCAACAAAGTCAGTGAGGGTGAGGTCTGCGGGGTGGACGCTAAGGAAGTGGTCACGGGCAGTGGCAAGACGGCCAGAGAGGCGGGTGGCTAGCAAGTAGAGAGTAGAGGTGAGGGGCGGTTGGTGGGCTAGAAGCTGTGTGAGGGTGCAGACAGCACGCCAGGTCTCGTCTATAGTGCGCAGGTGAGTGGCAAGGTCGGCGACAGTGGGGAACGACGCAAGGTCAGGAAAGAGCATGGGGAGGATCAGACGACCGACCGAGGCAGCAGGCGGGGTGGAATAGCGCTAGACAACAGCATCTAGGAAAGCCTGGGCAGTGGTGATAGACCTAAAGCGCGGTCGCTCGGACAGGGGGAGGGCATTGCTAATGGCAAGCTGTGCGACAGCGTCACGGGACAGCCAGACAGAGCGAGCAAGGGCAGCGGCCGCAGCGGACTCACGCTCAGCGGATGAGGGATCAGTAGACAGTGCAGCGGGGGGGTCAGGGCAGGGGAGAGTACCGTCAAGATGGACAGACAGAGAGTGGTCATCCTGCCGCTGACCAGTGAGGTGGCGACGGAGGTCAGCAAGCCACGCATCAAACTCAATCGGCTGGCCCTCAGCGTCAAAGCGAAGCACCTCCGCCATCAGTGACAATAGAGGGCAGTGGAGAGCAGTACATTGCGGTACAGTGTGGTGCAGTGCGGTGCAGTGCAGTATAGTGCGGTGCAGTGCTATGCAAGGCGGTCTAGT